TTTTATTTCTATATATTGTCATCAAGTATTTGATTAATGAAAAAAACATGAATCCTTGAAATAAGAAATTAATTCTTTCTCTTTTAACAGAACACAAGCCAGACAAAATCCTTTTTTAAAGAATCTGTCATATAAAATTGACAAAAATAGTTAAAGATATATGTGTGTATATATATCTATATATGTGCATATGTTTTTATGTGTGTACATATGTATCTATGTGGTCTGTGTGCCTATGTGTATGTGTGTCTATGTATGATTGTGTATGTTTATACACATGTGGTATATATATGTAACATATATCTCCTTTGTTGTGTATTTGTGTGGCTATATCTCTATGTGACTGTATTTGTGTCTGTGTCTATATCTCCATGTGCTATATTGTGGCTTAATTTGCATTTGTGTCGGTGTGTGTTTATGTGTGTGTAGTAAACTTATGGGTTCGTGCCTGTGTCTGTGTGCTGTGTTTGTGTCTACATGTGTGTTTGTGCAAACATATATGCGCCTGTGTTGTATGTGTGTATGCCTGTAGGTATATCCGTGTGGCTGTCTGTGTGCATGTGTCGATGTGTCTGTGGCTGATGGCAGGAAGAAGGATAAAGCTATACTATCCTATTCTGTACTTGGTGCAAATTAGGAAAAGCTGTCCTCTCTGGTGTGACAGTCTCACAGGCACAGGGATTGGCCAGCAGAGTAGGGAATGGATTTCGCTCTCCATTGGCCCCCTCATCTGGTGTCTTAGAGCAGAGAGCAAGTTGGTGAGTGTGAAGGGTATTTTGGAAGACCCAAAGTCCATTCAGCCTCTCCTTTGTTGTGTTGTGCAGGTACTTTCCCACAGAACTTAGTTTGAAAACTGATGTCCTATAAATGTTCCAAAATGACATGATTCCAGAGGCGTTCATGGCATAGTTCCTCTACCTGAAGTCCAGGCACTGCAGAGCCTTCAGTGGGCTCCTTCTTCAACTCATCTTGAGGCCTTGAGCATGCCTTCCCTCAGGCAGACCTCTCACCTCTCTTTTTGGAAAGCTCAAGCCAGAGTCCTGCCTTAGCATCCTACGGCCTCAGACTCACTTCTGCCACCTGTTGCCTTGTTGTGGAAAACACGTGTTGAGGTTTACGGTTGCATATAGCCATGGCTCATTACATACTTTGCAGTTTTTAAAAAATGACTCATGACTAAGAGATTGTGGGGTGGTGATCGGGTGGTGTTAGTGGAGAAACATATGGATGGTGTGGGACTAGTTTAGATGGAGAGTGAGATCTTGGAACCGGGAGTGGATGAGTGGTTCAAATGTGAAGAGAAAACTGGTGCTGCAGGTTGGATCTAGAGGGATCGTTAGCACTTAACATCCCTTCGCAATCTTCATATCCAATATGTGCTGCCTACCTCAACTTCTCAGCAGAAACTCCCTCTTCAGCATTCTGACTTGTAGCGTCTTGTGATAGATGACCCTGGGCAAGTTGCTCAACCTTTATGAGCCTCTGTTTCTTCAGCAATAGCCCCTATTCACTCATGTGGGTGGTTGGAAAGAATAATGACATAGTCTATGTGAAGACCTGGGCGCACAGTGCTCAGTGAATGTTGTTGCAGCCTTTTCTCCCCTTTTGTTCACCCTCTTCTTCCTCCTCGAGGTGCCCATAGCACTTCATCTGTCCGTAGTACAGCATCTAGCTCTGGCTTAGCACTATGGCAAGTGGTCAGTAGTCAGTAGATATTTGTTGAGTGAAGAGTTAAAAGAAGTCAGGCAGGAAAATGGAGGGAAAATAGTAAGTATCAGGCACGTAATGAAGTAAGTTGAAGTTGAAACACTTTCCCATCTTTGGACATGATCTAATAGTATCCTTTGATAGAAAAGTGGAACAAACAAGGATTTTGTATATGTAAAATGTAGCTTTAGGTGACAGTCCGGGTGCGGAGCTCAGTAGGCCCTCTGATCACTGATTTCCTGTTTGTGATCATCAGCCAGGTCTTACAGTGGACCATTTCAGTTTTCCCTTTGATATGACAGCGTGAATTTGGAAGAGAGAGAGAGTGTATATGCAACAGCACCTGTTTCTAACAGAGGGTCAAGTTTCAAAGAGGCTTAAAGGAATCTAAATTGTGAAAAAAAGAAAGGAAGAAATAGAGGATAAAACAAACCTTGTTAGTAATGAGATCCAGTAGGCAGGTAAGGGCTGTCATTACTATAATTATATACCAGGTATTAATCACCTGCTATTTACAGGGCACTGTGCCAGTTGCTGAGATTGCGAAGTAGAATTCCAGGTTGTTGCCCTCCAGAGGCTTCCAATCTAGGACATGGAATTGGTTAGAAGAAGAAGAAGTATCAAACGCTATCTATCTGTTCAGTACTGTGACAAATACTTAAAGGTATTTTGTCAGATATTATCATTCTCCAAGAAGAATCTAAGGTTCAGAGAGATTAAGAAACTTTCTCCAGCTCATCCATCAAACGAGCAGTAGAACTGGGAGAAGGCCCAAGTCTGTCTGGCTCTAATGGCACTGTACTGCCTGCAGGCCTCTGAGTAAGAGCATCAGGGCAAGCATGTGAAAAAGACAATTAACTTGACAAGCTATGCTAGGTTCAATGCCATGTGAGTAATATTTGGCAATTGTTGCAGGAATCCAACAAGAAAAGAGATTTATTAAGATTGAAAGAGGAACTTTGCAGAGGAAGTAGTTCCTCAACTAGATGCTGAAGGCAGAATATGAATCCAATAAGAATGAAGGTCGAGGCGTTTTAGGTGGAAGTAAGCATGGTATGTGCGAAGCTGGGAAGTGGGAAAATTCTCACCTTCTGGGTTTGTGTTACGCAGCATGGAATGCCAGAGAGAGCAAAGCCTGCTCCAAACTCACTAGCAGTGCTTCCCTAGCCCAGTCACCCAATTTCCATAAGCCTCAGTGTCCCTTTTTGTACAACGGTTGTGGTAATAGGCACTTCAAAGAGTTGTTGAGACCAGAGACAATGTGTATAATGCTGTCCGCCTCCTCAAAATCACCACTCAAAATTAAAACTCAATCAAAGTCAGGTTTCCTCTCTTACAGTTTTCTATTTTCCTTTCTACTTGCACTTGAATCAACTATATATTTGTATGTTTATTTCTTTAATGTCTTTTCTTGACTGTAAGTTCCACGAGGACAAGGAAAACATCGATTCATCTCAACACTATCTCTTTAATGCCTAGAACAGTACTCCAGAAATCTTTGTTAGATGAATACATAAATGTAGGAATAAATAAATGAATAATAAGATCTATTTCTGTGCTACGATTCTAAGAATCTCAGGGAAAATATCTCTTCTCTCTGGCAATGGGCAGGTCACAAATACAGGAAAAGCTTTCACAGAATGCAGTTAGAGCATTACAGGGCCTCAACAGGTTACTAGAGAAGCACCAGGTCTCCTCTCCATCTACTATATGGAACCATGTCTGAGCAGGAAGGAAATTACACAAACTTCCAGCTCAGCTGGTTCCAGAGTTTCACAACCCAGCTCTGTCTTGCTTACATCTGACATGCTACTTCATTGGTGTGACCTCCAGTGTGCTGAGTGGATAAATGACACTGCATAATCACCGTGCTGCCCCACAATGACCCTGAGTGGATGTCTAGACTTTCCAGTAATCAAGTCTTATAATTCAATGCAATGCAATAACCTTTTATGTATCGTTGGGGAGGAGAATAGGGGACATAGAGATGCACTAATAATTACTAGGCATTTGATATATGGTCTGTGATTGAGATAAGGGCTGGAAACTAAAGGGTACAGAGGAAGCTACATAGCCCAGCCTGATGTGAAACAATGGATGTATGGTTGGATAACATTTATATCTTTTCAAAGTGTGATTATATGTATCTTCCCTTCTTAGTCTCCCTGTAGTCATGGGGAAGTATAGATAACATTCAGATTATTTGCTCCTATTATAGAGAGAAACTGAGGCAAATGGGGGTGGTTCCGGACATAGAACTGGTTTCAGTGGCTGCCTTAGTCTGTTTTGTGCTGCTATAACAGAATGCCAGAGGCTGGGTAACTTATAAAGAAAATAAATAAATTTATTTCTCACAGTTCTGAAGGCTGGGAAGTCCAATATCAAGTTGCTGGCATCTGCAGAGTGTTTTCTTCCTGTGTCATCCCATGGCAGAAGATGAGAGGGTGAGAAAGAGGGGTTGGGATATCAAATTTGCCCTTTAATAATGAACTCATTCTTGAGATAACACCATTAATCTATTCATGAGGGTGAAGCCCACAAGGCTGAATCATCTCTCATTAGGCCTCACCTCCCAACACTGTTGCATTGGGGATTAAGTTTCCAACACATGCTATTTGGGGGACACACTCAAATCATAGCAATGGTAGATATGAACTAATGGCCCAGAGCTCATGACCATCAGCTTAGGGATCTTCTGAACCACACTGTCATTTGCCCTTATGTTGGACAGCAGTATGAGCATGCTTGCAATTTCATAATGTCACAGAAGATGGGGGGCCTTCCATAATATGTCCCCTATGCACTTTTGTGATAGAACATCAGAATAGAATACATTAGTGAAATGAAAGTGCTGGGAAAGGGAGGGCACTGTCCCTCTAAATAATACAGAAGGCAGCAGGACGTGCTGAGTAGAGGAGGGTGTGGTCCCCTGCTAGGGCTCCACTCCGAGGCCTGTGTCAGGGACCTAGGTGAGGACAGGCATTTTTGTTTTCCTGTGCAAATGTTGCATTTTCCAAGACCACCCTGGCCTGCCACGCCCCTATCCAGGCCACCAACTGGCAGAACGACATGGAGCTTGGCTGTGGCAGTGAGAGGAGAGCTGGGGCCGCTGAGCCCCCGATTCCAGGGGGAAAACCATCTCCCTTTTGTCTCCCCCATTCTGCTGAGAGCTACTTCCACTCAATAAAACCTTACACTCATTCTCCAAGTCCATGTGTGATCGGATTCTTCTGGTACACCAAGGCAAGAACCCCAGGACACAGAAACCCCTCTGTCCTTGTGATAAGGCAGGGGTTTGAGGTGACTAACACAAGCCACCTACAGACAGCTAAACTAAAAGAGCACCCTATAACACATACCCACAGGGGCTTCAGCTGTAAACATTCACCCCTAGATGGAGTGAATGCGGGATTGGAACTCCACAGCCTACCTGGCTGTATGCTCTCCTAGAGGTTTGTGCAGCCAGCCGGGCCCTGAATAAGTGCGTCACACCCCCATTGCGCACGCCAAGTGAGGGAGATAAGGGAACTTTTCCAGTTTCATTAGGAGTTGACAGACTAAGGTTCACGGGCTACACTGTTCATTGCTTGCTTTTATAAGTAAAGTTTTATTGAAACATAGTCATACCTACTCATTTACTATTGTCTGTGGCTGCTTTTACATTACAAAGTTGAGTAGTTGCAACAGATACTGTATTGCTCACAAGTCTAAAAATATTTAATATTTGTCCTTTACAGAAAAAATGTGTCACTCCCTGGAATGAATCAAATGGAAGTAAAAGGAAAAAAAAGAATTCAATCGTTCATAACAGGCAGTGTATCATAACTGAAAAAGATAATGAAAATTGGTTTCAGACAAACTCAGGTCAGAATCTCACCCTGGCTACTTGGCTGGATAACTTTGAACTAATTTTTACTCTTTGGGCCTGTTTTTGCATCACTGTAGAAGGTTGCTGTTTAAGAATTCTATAAGGTAAAGTGTAATATATCTGTTATGATTAGGTTTGACCCCATACAATAGAAAACACAAAAGTGTCTTACACAGGACAGCAGTTTTTTTTCTTTCATGCAGAGGTCTGGAAGGCAGTGTGTATTGATTTGTTCAGTGCCTCTTGCATTAGGAACTCATGCCTCTTTTATCTTGTTGCTTTGCTGTGTGTGGCTTTCATTCCTGAGGTCCTTTCATGGTTCAACACGGATGCTGGAGCAAATAAACAATCAAATACACAAAAGCTTAGAGAAAGAGCCATCCGTAGAGGCCAGGCAGCAAATCTATTTATTCAAGGCTAGCCAAGATGAGATCCCCTGGCCATAGTGCATGAAACCAGAATATTTCACTTATTCCATTCTTGGGATACATTGAAGCAGACCCGGAAGCAATGTCTTCTGTGTATTAAGCATCTAACACTTTACAAAGCATTTTCATACGTCTTACCACATTTGTTTTCCACAATGCTCTGAAAAGGTAAGATGCCTAGATTTTAACATTATTCCTATTGAATACTTGATTCACACAGTTGCTAAGTAACAGATCTTAACGAGTCTACAGCTAGGTCTTCCAATATGTTGCTGGAAATGAAAGGTGAACAATCATGGTGCAGAATAAAGAAAATAAGCCAAATCAGGACCCCTGGTAGAGAGGCAGTGCAAAGACTGGGGCTAATTATGTGGTCTCAGCCTCACCGGGCTGTTCTCCTAACCTGTAAGACCAAGATAAGAGCACTTATTTACTTTTGGGGTTATTGTGAAAATAGCAGACAATCTTAGTGCACCTGGCACTTAGGACCAGTTGAATGAAATCATTACCTTTCACAGGTGTGTCTTTGGAAAATCACATCCCTTTCCTGGACCTCCGTTTCCTTTTCTAGGAAAACAAAATGTTTGGTCTCAGTGACTGCTAAACTGTCTCCCAAATCTCAAGCTCCCTCAGTCTGGGATCCTGCCTTTTATGAAAATAGCTCAGATTGGAATTCTCCCTTTGGTTGCTTCCTAGCTGTGTGTCCCAGTAAAAGTTAAAAATTTTGGATTCCCCGCCCTCTGTAAAATAGGGATTCATAACATGCAGCTTATTAGAAAGGGAAGGCATGAGAGGATTAAATGAGGTCGATGTCCAGTACCCACTAGATTGTAACATTTCTCAAAGGCAAGGACCCATCTGTTTTGTAGATTACAGAATGTCATACGTTGAAGTACGGGGTGTGGCCACGGGATTAGAAAATTTCTGTAAAGATTAAGGAACGAGGCACAAGGTAAGCGTTCAAGAATTTTAACTATGCAATATTCTTATAATTTCTTACACCCGCCTACAACAGTCCTGAGGTTCAGCAAACGGTCTGACACACACACCCAACCGGGGCTGTGGAGAGTCCTCCTGGGTGAGCTCTGCGAGGCCAGTCCTCAGAGCCGGGAACTCGCAGCCTGAGCAGACGTAGCAGAGCCAGTCTTGGGTCCGCGCTCCTCCCGCCCAGCCCTGCCCAGCCCTGCCCAGCGCCGCCCGCGGGTGGCCAGGAGCCAGCGAACGCACCAGCCTCGGGGCGGGCAGCCGCCGGCCAATCCTGGGCCGGGTTCAATGGGCCAATCAGGCCGAGCTTTACAGAGGAGGCGGCGGGGGCGGGGCCGCGCTCGAGGCGGGGCTGCAGCCGCTCCCGGGACCGCCCTGCCCAGACGCCGCGGGGCTCGGCGCGGCTACGTGCAGAAGCCCTCTAGCTAAAACGTAGTGTCAGATTGGACAAGTACTGTAAGTGACCCTCCTCTCAGTCCCACGTGGGCGCCGGGGGCTTTTGCTGGCGCGCAGGCTCTTCGCGCGCAAGTCCAGGAAGAGGCTTCTCCAACCCGGGAGCGCACTGGCCTGGCCCTCTCCTCCCCTTTCCCACCGTCGTTGCCTCCTCCTCCCCTTCCTTCTCCTCCGGCCGCTAGGTCTCTCACCCGCCGGGCCGTTGCTCCCGAGACGTTGTTGAGTTCCCTGAGTCGTCTCCTGGGTGAGGCGTCCGGCCACTCAAGGGAAGGGAAGGAAAGGGTCGGCCTTTACTGCATCCCCAAGGCTGCCCGTTAGGTGTCTGGAACCCGTGCTGCTTCCTCTCCGATCAGTGTCCACTTAACTATATTCAGTTCTCTTTCCTTTCCTTACTCGTGTAGGACATTTCGCCGGCATCTGAGGAGCCTTTTAATTCACGTCTGGCTACCGAAGGCATTTCTAGGCTAATGTTGCTTGTACCTTTAACGCTTCCAGCACTTATGATAGTGTTTGAGGCACAGCTGAGTTTAGATCGGATAATGCTGTTTTGTTACCGTTATCCGCAGTAGGAAAGGCCTAGGGGTATCTTTCCATTTTTATCAGTTTCCTTTTTATTTAAAGATTGAAAAAGTGCAAAATGGTGAATTTCCCTCATCATGGGCTGTTTTCCACTAAAGCACTTCTGTGTCTT